AGCTCCAACCGATCCATCCTTTGTGGGCCCTGGACTGTGTGAGGTGTGTGGGCATCTCCATGTATGGGACTGGGAGTGGATTCTTTATCCGGTGATTCATCCATTGGCTGCAAAACTTCTGGCTCCTCTTCACACTCATCAGATGGGCTACTAGTGAGTTTAGCCTCATGACCTGGGCAACTTCCTGCTGCCTCTTTGAAGTCCGGCAGGTCAGAGCCCTTCTCTACCATCACCCAATCATGCAACTCAACATCTTGTAGACCTGAGCTTAGGTTTAGAGCAACAAAGCCACTGTTAGCTGGACCGTCGCCCTGCTCAGGAGATCCCGGTGAAGCAGGCTTGGGTGAGCCACCGCCAGAGCGGAATTCCTCATCATAGTGCCAAACACGCTCTGTGTGACTTCCGTTCAACATGGCCATGGCAGGGACACCGTCAGCATCCCATTCCTGTGCTGTACCAGGTGGCTGCTTGCCAGAACTGGTCACAGAAACCAAAGGATCGCACACTAAGTCTTCAGAACATACTGAATAGTTGCTAAATACTTGAAAAAATGCAATCTTGAGTGTAGAAGTCACTTACCAGGCCTCTACAAAACGCTCAGTGTTGGGTTTGGGCTCCAAAGTTAGTCTCTTCTCCAGCTCAAAGCTATGGATATTGCGTAGTTTCCTCAGAAGAGGAGTGTCTCTATCTGAGGGCACCACCTCTGACCGGACTCGCACTGGTGAACCAATGCTAGGCCCTGCATGGGGGCTTTGATTGCCTTGGTTGCTATGCTCATCCTCTGTTCCCATCTAGAAGAGAATGACAACAGAATATGAAACCTCCAAGAATAGACAAAGATGTCTATGATTGATTCAGTTCATGGTACATATTCTGGTACCTTCCAGACAGCAGGACAGATCTGGTTCCGGTTGCGGTCCAGGCCCTCCCAGACATCAGTCTCCTGGTTCCTGAGAGGAAGGTTCGGAGATCCAGGCAGGTTCTCGGGCCGAGCATTGTCCCCATCACTGAGCTGCTCATCTTGCAG